TCTTCTAAAATCAGCTTGTCATCTTGGTACCTCATGGAGATTAGTTTTTCATTTCCTTTTTTTGTTAACTATTTGGACTCTAGGAGAAATGCTATACTAGTAAAAGCTTAAGGGTGGGATTTGGGGCTGAGGGGAGGGGTTTTTTGATGTGGTAGAAAACTGTAAGTTAAAATCTTACTTTTTATTCAGTCTATCTGCTGTAAATTAGAAGAGTGCATCAAGTGAATCAGATGTGACCTGTTTGCCTCGTAAGCATGCCAGTTATGCTTTAGCATTGGGGATTGGGGGTTCCTTTTCTTTTTATGGATGATGCCTTCCTTTTCAGAAGACAGTTTGAGACACCAGCAGTGAAAAAACAGTTTAGATGACTTCCTGTTTTTCAAAAACTTACTAGATATTGTTTTTGAAACAAGGTACTGGAGGTAAAATGCTATCTAAGAGATCCTTGCATCTTTACAGGAAGCATGATGTATGTGTAGTTTTACAGGAGGGAACACCTGTTAAGTCAAAAATTCTGTCTTGGCATCTTCTATGTTCTGCTCATGGCGCATAATGATCACTGAATTGTTTGGCTTTTACTTCTGTCACTGTGGGACTGACATCTTTATGTTGTCCTTTTGGTTTCCGTCTTCCCACTCTTGGGCATATTACTGGGGAATGGAAGGGAACAGGAATAGAAGTATGAGGATGCCACACTTCCTTTCTCAGGTTTCTCCCATTCTTATTATTCTTATTCTTGTTTCATCTTATGATGAAACAAATGAATGATGCATTTAACTGTTTACAGTTGAATAAGTTCCAATATTTATTCACAAATGCTTTTCATATTCATAGGAAAACAGGGGGACTAGAAATTAAATGTACAGAAGAGGCTGATTGTACGCTGAATAAAATTTTGTATGCCTCCAAGGTTGGTTGGTTTGGAAGGTGCTGGGAAGGAAAAGTGAACATGTAGTATCTCCCTACATTCTCTAAGATAGAAGGAGGATGTAAGTGTGCATTCTGGGTGTGCAGTTGTGCAGTTTACAAACCTACCCTGCCTAAAGACAGGGGTAGCATCCAAGAAGGGACTAAGTTGCTAAGCAACTTGTTTGTATGGTGAGTATTGAATTTAATTTGTAGCATCAGCTATTTTTATGAAGGAATGTTCTTTGTTGTGCACGAGGGCTGGGATATAGAGGATCAGGGTTTAGTTTCCAGATCTGTTCAGCGCTGGCACATCAGTATTCATTCTCTTCTGTTTTCATTAAAGACAAAGTGAAGTCGTTCCGGGCAGCTCTTCAAGAGGAGGAACAGGCCAGTAAACAGATCAACCCGAAAAGACCACGTGCCCTTTGAAATGGGCCTTTGCTGCTAGAGGAATCCATGAACCTGTACTGCTGTAGCACACATTTGTTACAAAACCCAGTGGCCAGGGGAACTCAACTACTTGAAAGTGTAAAAGCGTTAGAAATGTCTGTGGAAATGTC